GCCACGTGCCCCAAGGGCTCCACCCGAGGCTGTTCGTACCGCCAACAGCCTCCCGGCACGTTCCGCGGAGGCGATTAGCAACGGGGCGGTGAAGAAACCAGGGCACCCAGGACGTTCCCGCTGCAGCAGAGCTCCTCCTGCCCACGGGCAGCCGGGTAGCCCTCGGCTCACACGGAACATCCACTCCTCGGGTTCCGGGCTTTTCCCCCGAGGACAGCCACGGGAACCCCGAGCAGGAGATTTCATCTGCCCCGTCCCCACGGGCACTCCAGGGCTGAGTTGCTAATGCAAATCTCTCTTTAGGAAAGAACAGCCACAAGGGGTTTCACATTTCTTTACTGAATGAAATATTGCATCCTCCATCTAAAGGCTTCATGGATCTTTCAAACTTTTCCTGCTCAGTTACAGAGTCATTGCTTGGAGTCAGGAGTTCAAGCTCCATGGCAACAGGAGAACGGGATGTCGAGGTTAGAGGCACCTTCAAGTGTTCCCATCAGTGGCTCTGTTTTGAGACTATGAGCTTCTTTGACAGATTTCAAAAGCTTTGGACTTGAAGCCCAGTAGACAGGGTAAAAACTCAGACTGGACACACTGACCACAGCCTCAAGGGATGCCAGGCTCCTGCTGAGGAGCGAGTCAGGAAGAGATGTGCTGAGTTGCTCAAAGCAGCTGAAAGTCTGAGCTTAGTAAGACCTGAAATGAGGCCTCTGGGAAAAGCCTGTGGGTTCCAGCCAGTCTCCAGGGAACCCTGTGTGGCTTGAGGAGCTAACACAGCTCTTCAAAGCCCATGGTCTGAGTTTCCGAGGCACAGAGTGAAGCATCAGTCCTGCTGCCTGTCCCAGCTGGACTTTGTGTTTTCAGGGAATTACTGGCAGGGGGACAAAAAAGGCAGAGCAACAGGCATGGCCAGGCCAGCACATGGATCAGACCCGTGGTCAAGCTCAATCTGCCTCTCTCATCTCTGCCTCCATCTGTCTTCCCATGCTTGCTGCAGGACAGACTGCCTTGATCCTTCTCTCTGCTCCTTCCCCTAAGCGTCCCGTGTCTTGGACAATCCCTAAATGCTTTTACATTTTATCCCTTAAGTACAGTCTTCCTGTAGGCAGAAATACATCTGTAAGTTGATACTCTCTTTTCACCCTCTAGGGGCAGACGTCCCCAGACAAAGGGGATGATTGTGACACCCGAAGGGATGTGGACAAGCTGTCTGTGAAGCAGAGGGTTGTGCTCTATGTCCTCCTACCAGAGAGAGTGATGTGTCTGACTCTGGGCAGGGGTGGTCACAGCATGTGCTGTTCCCGGACATGTTTCCCTTGAAGCTGTGGCTTCAGAGAAGGGGACAGGAAGTCAGACACCCCCTTCCAGGTGCCTGTGGCTGTTCCTGGTTCTACCTCCCTTCAAATGCTATCGAGGGACAAGGAGCACATCAGGGGCTGCAAAGGGGCCTGTCTTCAACCCTGAGAGAGGTGGGTGCAGGCCCCTGTCTCTGGCTGGGTGTGGGATGGCAGCAGAAGTCCACCGTGGACACTCCTCCCATGCTGGGGGCTGGTTGGGGTCATGCAGCCCCTGTTCAAGCTGGGTCAGATAGAGCAGGTTGCCCAGGACTGTGTTAGGTTGAGTTTTTAAACTGATGCCCACTACCTCTGCTCCTGTCAGTGGGCACTGCTGAGAAGAGTCTCTTCTTCATTCCCTCCCATCAGGTATTTACAGACACTGCCAAGATCCCCCTCGAGCCTTCTCTTCCCCAGGCTGAACACTGCCAGCCCGCTCAGCCTGTCCTCATAGGAAAGATGCTCCAGTCCCTGCACCATTTTGCTGGGCTCATTCAGCTCTCTTTCTTGTACTGGGGAGCCCAGAACTGGACCCAGCACTCCAGAGGTGGCCTCACCAGTGCTGAGTAGAGAGAAAGGATCAGGCCCCTTGTCCTGCTGGTGATGCTCTTCCTACTGCAGCCCAGGCTGCTGTTGGCCTTCCTTGCCACGAGGGTGCATTGCCACACAGATTCAGGAACAATCCTGAGCTGCTGAAAGTGAGCAGGACACAGCTGTGAGTATTCAGGAGAAGCATCCCAGCTGCTTGTCCAGCTCCTTCCTCAGCTTCTACCAATGAGTATTATAGGAGGAGGGGGGCTCTTGGTAGGAGACATAAATGCTCCTGTGGCTTTACCTCCTGGAAAGAAAAGCCAAAGGAGGGATGATGTCCTCCTAGCCCTGGAGATCATTTAAAGCCTCAGCATGTGACAAAGGGCCCTCAGCCAGACACCAGACAAGATGTTCTCTTCAACTGCTTGAGCTGATCCTCTGCTTTTCAGGTCTCTTTCGGCTCTAGGGACTCCCCAGACTTGCCATGTGATTTCCCCCAGAGCCTTGACTCAAGAAACCAAATTTTCAATGGGGACAGGAGCCTTTCAGCTTATTGAGGAACTCACACACCTGAGGAACTTCACTAGAAGTCAGGGCTGAGAGTGGAATTTGAGAGCAACAGGTTGACTAAAGCTCTCTGATCAAGTCCCTTTCCCTTTCAAAGGGAAGAACAAGTCAAAGAGAAAGTGATAATCAAGGCACACAATGACAGCAGTCCCTCAGGAAGTGATGAGGGAGAAAGGAGGGGGACCAGAGCTCTTCAGCCTCTAATTGATGGTCCATCAGGGAACTGCAGGTGAAGCTTTGAAGTGCTTGAGGCTGAGCTTTCTAAGTGACAAGAAGTGACAAGAGGAACCTGAGGATTTGGGATGTTTCAGGGGGGTCCTGCAGTACTAGACAAGAGTTCTGAAGGAATGCTTAGGGGAAGGGTCCAAGGTGGTGGCGAAGAGGGGACTGGGGAGGAGCAAGGGGAGTCAATAGAGAGGAGGAAGGACAAAGGAACCAACAGCACAGAAGCAGGGCTCAGTCAGGGCACATGTTGGGATGTTCCTTGTGCCTGATCACTATTGACCCCCTTGTCTTGTGAAATATTTTTTTAACCATCCTACTGAAGTAACTTCACTCCCTTTCCCAAATAGCAGTGCTGCAGGCTCTGAGTGCCAGGAACTGGAGAGACTGGTGTGAAAGAGAGAGGTGGGTGCCAGTAACTGGACAACCAACCAATGCCCATAGGGATTGCAGGCCTGGGGGCCATCAGTTGAATCACTGGGGCTGTGTGCTGTAAAATCTAAATGCCAGAAACTGGACAAGGGTCACAGGGCCTATCACCCTCTGCGCCAGCATCTGGAGGGACTGGAGTGTGAGCAAGGTCTGGGTGCCAGCAACTGGAGAAGGAAGAACATGGCTGAGGGGTCATACATCTTGCTGTCAGCAACTGCAGGGACCACACTGCACGTGTACGCGTGGCAGGTCTAAGAACGAGTGACTGGAGGGACCTCAGCGTGTTTCTCATTCTTCTTTGTGAGATGAACCTGATGGTCATGGGTGCGTATGTGGGACTTGCAGCATATTTGAGTGAGTGGGCAGAAATCTGTATCTAAATTCTGAGACAGAGGTGGGTAAGGGAGCCCAGGGCCCACTCATGGCTGCTAGACAGGCTGATATTACCAAGCCATGGTAAGGTTTGAGGGATGCAAGAGTGTGGGGATAGTGGTGGCAGTGGGTGATTTCACACATCGTTTTGCTAGTGAACATCAGGCTGGCCTAGCCAGAGAGAAGGAGGAGCCCCAGGTGCTGGATGAGAGGGTCCAGGCTCCAGGCAGGGCTATTAGATGGGCTGAGGGCCCGTGCTGGTGTTTGGGGGATGAACAAGTGTGAGTGCTGAGTGACTCCAGAGGGTGTAAGTGTGTGTGTTTTCACTGGGAACCGTATGTCTCAGTCATACTGGAGACAGACCAATAAGGGGCCACTTCCATGATGAAGAGCCTGGAGCAAGTCTCGTATGGAGATCCCAGCTGAGAGAGCTGGGACTGGTCAGCACAGAGAAGTCTCAGGGGAGCTCTCATCACTGTGTGCAAATATCAGGAGGGAGGGTGTGAAGAAGGCAGATCCAGGCTCTTCTGCGTGGTGCCCTGTGACAGGACCAGAGGCACTGGGCACCAAGTGAAACACAGGAGGCTCTCTCTGAACACCGGGGAACCCTTTTTCACTGTGATGGTGAGGGAGCACTGACACAGGATGACAAGAGAGGTGGAGGAGAAATTTGTAACTCTGCTTTTTTTAATGATGGGGGTGCAGCATGGGTCTAGAGAGTCTCAGTAAGAACAGGACTCTGGCTCCACAGAGTGTTGATTAAAATACCATTAATTGGAGATAACAAAATTATAAAGAGGATAACATCGATGACGTTCAGATTCTGACAACCCTGAGTTCTGTGGGTCGGTGCCTACTCAGGACAGGTTAACATAATGAAGTTTGTTATCTCTGCCATGAGTCATGCATGGGATCACTTTGGAGCTGAACTGGAAAGGGTGTGGGAGTGGGACACCCCACTTACCCATCCCCCACCCTTTCACAGGCTGCCCCATGCCCACCGCTGTCAGTACAGCACTTCAATGGGTGCCCCATGCGCTCTCAGGGAGTGGGGGTCACCCACTGATCCTTCATCCTCTTCCCTCCTGATCCTTCATCCTTGTCATCTTTGGGTTTCTGGCACCTAACAACAGCACTGGAGCCAAGTTCCTCTCTTGCACTGTGGATTATCCCAGCAGAACAAGACACATCAGAACCCCTGTGCTGCTGCATAATGGGCTTCATCTATTTTGGAGGACTTGAGGGAGGGGTGCTGTTTCCAGGCAGATTGGGAAATATAGGGAAGATGTGAGAGAAACAGAAGAGACTTCAGTTCCCAGGAGAAATAGCAGTGTCCCCAGAGAGCTGAGGACACCAGGGGAAGAACCTCTGACCTCTCAAATGCCCAGCAGGGGCTGTGCAGAAGAGCAGGTGATTCTAGCAGGGAGGTGAGGACTCCACTGCCAGCTGACCAGGAACAGCCTCTTCCCACCACTGGGACACCCACAGACCCCAGGGTCTCCCACTGTAGAGATGCTGAGAATACCCTTGGCTACCAGCCAAGCTGCTACTAGCTGCTTTTGTGGCAGAAGTTCCCCCCCCGTTAAAGATTCTTAAAATGGTCTCAGATAATGACTCCCAGGAACTCAAAACTTGGTACTGGATGGAGGATTAAACTTCATTTAATTGTTTTAAGAGCAGCTGACTACTTCTGGCTTTCCCTGCAAGGGGAGACTGGAGGGAACCAGCCTCAGCTTTCTGAAAACATGGCCAATGTCTACCTTTCCTGTATTCCACTCACCCTTTTCCCTCTCCTCTTTGCTGTGGTTTTATGTTCCCCTCAAAGCCTGCTGTGAGGACCCCAGAAACCAGCCTGGAGTGACATACTAGCCTGTCTCCTTTCATGGAAAAGATTGACAGGAGAAGAGAAACAGTCTTGGCTGCTTCTCCCTGTACTGGGGACCTTCACTTGGTGTGACCACATTTCCCTCTTTAGATTCAAAATTTACCACAACTCCACCTGTGTCCCTCAGGTGGTCGTTCTATCTGCAACAAGAGTCATTGCTTTGAGGAAGGAATTAGTTGGGGGACAGGGGAACCCTTCATCACTCCTAGAGGCATTGGAGGGTGGGACACACTTCAGTGAATTGCCTTTCACGTGCTGGCTCTTGAAGGTGAGGAATACAACCCTTGGTACTCCACAGCCAGTAGCCAGTTGCCTTGATGCATCTCTGCTCAAAAATACCTCCTTGACCCTGGAGCACATCATGTGAGCTGTCCTCAAGTGAAAACTGTGGGCATGTAGGAGGCCCCAGGGAGGTCAGCAGTCCCACAATCTCTTGGGGAAGAGTGCTCCTCTTGCTTTGGCTAGAACTGTGCTGACCAACTAGATTTGGAATACCATTTTGGCAGGAATTGGGAATGGGAGGTGGTCCGTAGTCCTTACTTCACCTGGTATGTAGGCTATGGCCAGCACATGTGGGCATGGCAGCAGGGACAGCTTCTGGGGTAGAATTATCTTCTTACAGAGAGGGTGGATGTGGCCGAGGATGTTTTCAGTTTACGAATTAGGACAGAACTTCATTAGGCCAGACTGCTCTCTGTAGAGCAATGAAGACTGTGTGGCTCCTGACAGAGCTTCCATCTCCCCACTCAGCAGTGGCCTTGGATCCTTGGTGACAGGGTAACCAGGCAGGTCCTCACCCACCCTTGTGCTCTGCTTCCTCCCTGCTTCTACCCAGGGGCACCTCCACCCTCAGAGAGATGTCCTGCTACGACCAGTGCCTGCCATGCCAGCCCTGCGGCCCGACCCCACTGGCCAACAGCTGCAATGAGCCCTGTGTCAGGCAGTGCCAGGACTCCACCGTCGTCATCGAGCCTTCCCCGGTGGTGGTGACCCTGCCCGGCCCCATCCTCAGCTCCTTCCCACAGAACACCGTGGTGGGCTCCTCCACCTCCGCTGCCGTTGGCCGCATCCTCAGCTGTGACGGAGTGCCCATCAACTCTGGGGGCTTTGACCTCTCCTGCATTACCAGCCGCTACTGTGGCAGAAGGTTCCCCCCTGCTAAAGGGGCTGGCAAAGCCCCAGCGACACACCTTGAAGAGCTCCGAATGTTGTGCTGGCCAGAGGATTGACACTTTGGAGGTTGTTTTCAGGATAGCTGAATAGCTTTGTCATTCTCTCCATTTTCTTTGCTTTGGTTCCCATTGACAGCAAGATCTCTCCAAGCCCAGCCTGTGTTGTGGTAAGGCATTAGCTGTTTTTTGCTCTATCTGCTAAGCCACAGAAATGCGGCATTCAGATCACAGCTAACCCCCGCAGGAGGTTAACCTTTGCGGGAACAAAAGCACAAATGCCAATATGGTGGATGCTATCTGTTCGGTTTATGAACTGTGCAATTGCTTTATATATGCCTTTCTGTATATCACAAGATCTTTAGTTCCCTGTTCTTTCCCTGCATCACAAGATCTTTTCATGTGCCTCTATTTTTCCCGTACATCGCGAGATCTTCTGAGCGCCTCTCCCTACAAGCCTGGTGGGGACCATCTACCTCTTCTCCCTCTATTGGGCAGGCAGGTGAATATCAGGCAGGAACTTCTCAACAGCCAAGAAACACAGACTCATGGCTTCTCCCCAGGGCTCCCTGAACTGCTGACCTGCACTTGGAGTGACTCTGTTTCCCTCTTTTGACTCATTAAAGCTCTGCTGCATTCAGGCCTGGCCTCCATGTGGTCCTACCCTGTGCGAACACTTCCTGAGGTGCCAGAGGAGAAGGGTTTTGCTCTGTGGTAAAAAGGGATGAGGACACAAGCAGAGCCTTTCTCCGTTTGGAGAATGGAAGGTTGGGGCACCCTGCAGTGGCTCCTCTTTTGGACACCATCCCTTGGAGATGAGGAAGTCACCCCTGGTTGCTCTGTTGCCAGTGACCATCAGGCCTTGCCTTGTTGTGTCTGTGCCCACAAATGCCCAGAAAGGCAGGAGGCCCTGAGGGCTCGGGAGCCTCAAGAGCTCTTGAGGAAGAGTGTTCCTCTTGCTATGGTTGGAGCTGCAGCGGGGTGGTGGTGGGAGAGTTGGGTCTCCCAAAGATGATTTGCTTTGGACAATGGCAAGAGTGTTATTTCAGAGAACAGCCCTTGGGATGGCCCAGAGCTGCTACTCCAACCTCCTCTGCCCTCCACCACTCAGTCTAGGGAGCATGGCCATCACACATGGATAGGACTAGCAGGGAAAAGTCACCGATACTGCTGAATGTGTTCAGGCTGGAAACTGGAGACAAGTATGTGAGAACTGAATGCAGTCAGCACAGAAATAGGGTCAGTGAAACAGCGTATTTCTGAGGTGGATCTAATTGCTCTGAGACAGAGTGTGCAGGAGAACATGAAGGCCAGTGAGGACAACGGTGCTGGGTGCACTTCCCAAGAGAGCTGCAGGGGTGGGGCAGAGCTCTTCACTCCTTCACTTGTCCCCCCAGAGAGTTTGTGCTCAGGAATTGGCTGTCATTTGGAGGGGAGAGGATTTTTTTATGTTTAAATCTCATCCCTTCTGATTGGTGGAAATATATTTCGGCAGACACTACAGTCTCATATCCTATTTCCTGCCATGAAATTCCAGATGTTTTGACAAAAGTGTACAAGTGGAAGAATGGAAATCCCCATACTAATGTTCTCCACCAGCGAATTATGTCTAATGAAAGCATATCTCAGAATGACTGAAGGCCAAACTTTTATAAAGGTGTTTCACTTTCATGCCTGAAATCTTTTTTTTCCCTAATTATGCTATTAATAACCATCATCTGCAGCAGAACAGTTGGACTTCCTATCCCTACCACAATAAATATTCTAATAAGCAGGAAGTTCTTCTTAAAGATGATATGATCTGCAATTGTTCTTGTAGAAGAGAGAGGGATGGCAATTTTTCTGACAGATGAGAAAGTCCTTTGGCCAAATATCTGCCAGAGTGACCTCTGCCTTGCTGGCCCAACAAAAATGATCTTGAAAATGTAGGAAAAGGGCACAGGATCCATGTAGGTTTTACGATTCAAACTAAGGGCAATGTTGCCAAAATATTTTTTTACTTTCTGGTATTTTAAACCATCTACTGTTAGAGCTGCAACTGTTCTTTACACTGTTCTTACTCCCCTCATGAACCCCTAGATTTACACCCTAAGAAACAAAGATCTGAAAGTTGCTGGTGTTTGTTCATGTGCAATAAACTTCCTACCTAGTTTTAGTGTTAGATAGTAGTAATGATGACTCGATCTGTTTTCATTTGAAGAAAATTCTTTAAAAGTGTGACTAACTAAAGTGGGGTAACCCTTCTGTGGATGGGATCTGCACAGTGTCCTGTGACCTGGCAAGGGGTCAACACATTGTACTGTGCTATGGGAGTGACTGAGTGTGGGTTGCCCAGGGAGGTTGCCAAGTAATTTTCTTTAGAGATGCTCAAAAAACAGATTAACATGGTCCTGGGCAACTGGCTTTAGGTGGCCGTACTTGATCAGGAGGTTTGGACCACATGACATCCAGAGGTACCTTCCAACCTCATTCTGTAATTTTCTCAGCCTCAGTGTTTGCAGCCTTTGGGAGTCTGGCTTGTTCCGAAGATACCACACTGCTGCTGTGTGAACCCACCACTGAGTCACCATTTCCTTTACAGAGTTGGGGCTGCTTCTGCACCCCCATATCTCTACTAAGGAGATCACTAAGCACAGGTGGGAGCATCTAAGACTGTAAGAATTTTCTGACTTGTGATGTGGGGATTCTTTGTGGCTGCAACAATATGGGCATTCTCTAGTTTTTACATTATCCCTGGCACACAGACTTGGGACATGGAGAGGCTCAGTGCCTGGAAAGGCCATGGCAGCTTCATCTCTGATGTGTTTTCTCTCTTTTCTAGTGGGAAAACAGCTGACTGAACCACTGTCAACCTCTTGAGCTCGCTGAAGCTGATGGCGTCTGCTTCTTTGCCTTAACTGTAGGGTCTGAAAGACTTCTCTAGAGTCATCTTGAGGGGCTGAGAGCTGGCACTGGATGTCCTGGTTCTCAGTGGTGTGTGGGTATGTTCATGTTTGCATCCAGAAAGAGCTTCTGGTTCACTCCCGTGCTGTGGGGCCTTTTATTTTGTGTAACAAAAAGAAAACTGTATATCTTCTCCTTACATATTGGAAGGTTATTTCTGCCATAACACGCACCAGCACACAGAACAGACTGGCACAGGACACTCCATCAGATTCCCTTGCAGCAGCTACTCATGCTAATGTACAGGCTTCTCACACTTTTCATGCAAGATCCAATAGAGCAGACATATCTTGCCCAAGATCATTAACATCTCAAATACAGCTTCTTCCACAAGGCTCCCAGTACACCTCCCCTCTCTATGCAGTCTCCCTGGATACCTGGACAACACTGGTAGCACGTTTAGGGCCTTGTCCCTCCCCAGTATGCTCTCCAGATTCCCTGTTTGGTCTGTCCCCCCCAGCTGAGTGCACAGTTGGTCATGTTTATGGACGTATTCTCTTGTCTGCATGCTGGATTTGTGCAAGTGTTTATCAGTGCAGATTTTTGCATGATTGTACACCATTGTGCATGAGCATGTGTTTGTGTGTCCTTGTGTGTCTTCATGAGAGAATTTGCCAGTCACAGCAGGAGCACTCCCCTGCTCTGTCCATGAGCTCCACAGAACAATCAGAGCCAGAAGGAGCCTGAATGCAGCTGAACAGAACAAATACAGCAGAAAACTGCCCACAGTGCAGGCACTGAAATGCAACCTTCTGTATCTTCAGCCCTCCTTTTCTTGCCCCTGCAAAGCTCACAATCCACTGCTGCTGATCTCAGGCCCCAATAAGGATGGTTTGACACCAGTTGAGATTCTTAGTTTAATTTAATATGACAGTATTCAGAGAGCCTCAGCATAGCTGGAAGTCACCTCTCTGTTCCTCACCAGCCCAAGACAGAGTTGTCCCAAACACACTGTACAAAAGGATGGAGTTTGCTTTATAAGCTCCTTGTTTGAATCAAGGAAACATTGTCAACTTGGTGTCCAGCAGGACCATCTGGAACATTTTATGCTGCACATACTGGTGTGTGGGATTGTTCATCCCCAGGTGCAGGATTTTGCCCTTGTGACCAAAGGAGGAGACATGGCTAACTTCTTGCCCTCCCACAAGCACTGCACCAAACCAGCTTCTTCCTGTTGTGGCTCTCAGAGCGCTCACATCATTTGAGTCAACCATCCCAGTCACCTGCACCATTGCTTCCATGCACTGAAATCCCTTTCTTCTGGTACTGGTCATCCAGGAGCAGTGAGCCCAGGTACCTTCTGGGCACTTCTGGGTCCTCCAAGAACAGTGGCTGCTTGGTCCAGGGGATGTTCACCACCTGGACAGATTTCAGAAGGGGGTCTGTGACTTACAGGGCCAACCTTGACTAACAGAGGAGTATATCTGCAGAATTAGATGCACAGCAGTGAAGGCTCCTCCCTCCATTGTATGCAAAGTACCCACCAAAAAGAGAAACACAACAAAGGCTGCAGATTTGCCAGAGGCTTGGAGAGAGAGAAAGGTGATTCCCAGGAGCAGTTACCAGTGCCAGGGCTGCTCCTTGGCACTTCCCTGCTCACTGACTCCAAACACCAGAATTTTGCCTCCCACCCCTGTTCCATTCTTGACCCCTTTAATTTTCACTGTGCCAAGGTATAGAGCTCTGCTAGGGATTGGGCTGCAAATCTACCCACTCCACCAGCCTGCCCTGCCCCAGCCCTCTATGCTGAACCATTCCCTCTATGCTGGGAATACCCCCTGACTCCATCCCCCTATTATAGGAATTTATATGTTCACCCATTAAAATACCTTTCTTTCCCCTTTATCAGCTTCCTCCCCCTGTCTCCAAGTCCTCGTGCATGGAGAAATACTGAACGACTTCTTCCAAAATAACAGAGGCAAAACTAAGAGAAACCTGAAATCTTTTGAAAAGAACACTACACCTGTGTTTCCCAGAGCACTGAACGTTATGAGGAGCCGTTGTGCTTTCAAAAGCCCTCCCACCATCAAAGAACACACAAAAGCAAATGCACTCTACAGCATGGGAGAGATGTTCTCTCGCAGAGTAAGTCTTACAAAGGGAGAGGGAAACCCAAGGAAATGTGCAGGAAGCCACTGAGATTGTCCACTCTCTACTGTGAAGAAAAGTAAAGGTAAAAGGTGAATG